ATTCCTCCCGAGTTACAGTGTCTTGAAAAATAAAAGTGCTGACATCAGCATTATTTTCGAATGCTTTCAGAAACTGTGTTATACACAAAATTTAGTTAAAAATTGACTTCTTATCTGATATAAACAGGAATATAAACATTTTGGATCAAACTCGCCTTTATTTTGGCATTTGATTTTTGGATAAATGCTTGGTGGTATAAAATGGTGGTATATTAAAATGGCCAGCTGAGACCATAGGTGGGCAGGATGAAAAATATTCCATATGAGCACACCAACCTGCTTACTCAGAATGAAGCCAAGAAACCAAATTTCGGATTTTGCCATTTAATTTGCCAATTTTAATTATAATAATATTAGTTCTAATTACGTTATGTGAACAAGTATTAAATATGTTGCTGAAGGGCAAATTACATGAGCCGAGTTGTCCTGGCTAGCTGAGGTGGGAAAATTTCATCGATACAGCAGCTTCTATAGTAAATACTATTAAAAACAATAACACGATTATATGGGAAATGAGCCAACTCACCTAGCTGGGACCTTTGCCGAGTTGTCCCAGCTAAAAAATAGTCATGCACACATGCATGGTTTTTATAATTTTGAAAGTGTATTAAACAAATATAAGTTTTAATTTTTAAACACTCAAACTAGCATCAGATTATCAGGCAAAATTTGCTTGCAAGCAAAAAAATTAATAGCGGCGATGCCTGCCAAAACCCGAAGACTTCGGACCAGCTATGTAACCCTTGTGGACTGACTATGTTACCCCCCAGGGGCACACATTGGGGGGGGGGGTGACACCCCCATGTTTTGTGAAATATATCTAAAAAGTCGGTCCCAAATCGGTTATCAAATCGGTTATCATTTTGTATCGTCGAAAAAGTAATAGCACTAATAGGTGGACATTCTGGAAATGGAAGTTGCATAAACATAAGAAAAACGAATTAGACAAAGAAAAACGAATTAGTCATACACAAATTAGAGTTCACTGACACAAACCAAGAGAGCAAATAATCAACTTCCGCGTTGCAACAGTTCAACAAACGTAATGTGATCTGATTAACCCGCGGTGCAGTTAAAATGTGCATTGTTAGTCTTGTCGTAAAAGCTGAAACTTTGGAAGGCAGAAGTAAATCAATGGCGTAGCCAAGATGGGGGTTCGGGGGGCTCTACAATGGGCATAAGGACTGCCCTTGTGGAAAGCTGAAATCCGGGCAGAAATTCGGGTGGGGGTATGATGTGTGAATAATGATACCCATCTCTTCTGTTTGCCAATAAAAGTTGAAGTCTTCCCTACCTAGAATCCTAACTCCAGTAAAAAACGCCCATGGTTGCTTTAAAGCACATTTGAACTCGAATTTGCGCTCAAAGCAACACTCATGACCGACTTCTACGAAAACGAAGACATGATGAAATTTTGCTGTTGTATTTGCGTGTACAATACTATGTTTTACATAAATATTTTTGGATCTATAAACATGAACATTAGGTGACTTAAAAATGCCTTTTTGTGGTTGTAACTTTTCTTCAAACCTCGTCCTAAAATACGTGAAATAGCGTTCTAATGAATCTAGAAATTCAAAATTTTCCTCACGCCTACGGCGCTTGCATTCGAAATCCATAAAATACCCCCCCTCCGAAAGTTTAGACCACTGCAAAAGTTCTGAAAAACCACAGTTAAAACTGAACGTTTGTTTAAACTCTTGGAATACTATCCCCGTCTTACCGTCTAGTATGCGCTTTAAATAGTTGGCTTTTCTTACCAAACACAAATACTACAAAAGTCGGTCCCAGAACATAGGACACCCCCCCCCAATTTTTTTCGAATGTGTGTCCCTTACCCCCACCCCCACAGGATTAATTTGTTCAGATCAAAACTACTACAAAATGTCAAAAGCTGTGTTACCCCTACTCCCATAGGGTATGACATTTTATATTCAGACACAATTCGAAAAATCCGAAGTAAGTACCACAAGATGGCTGCGGAGGAGGCTAGGCCGGGTCAATACCAGACATTCCAACTCTCCTGATTTTACCGGGAGTCTCCCGAAAATTCATGCAATCTCCCGGTATCCCGATTTTTATCAAATTCTCCCGATTTTTCAGAATATTCAGGAAATATCATAAAAAATTATAAATATGCTGTTTTTAGCCACATAATAGTCTGTCTTAACCTTTTTTGAAGTTGCTTTATGGCAATTTATAGGATCACTTATAACAACAATTTTTTTAGTCCCAAAATGCAGGAAATGCCAGTTTCAGAAGACTTAATTTTTATTATTTTCTCCCAGAAGAACTAGATTTCAATTCACTGAACAGTCTCCCTAAATTTAACCTCCAGTGGTTGGAATGTCTGCAATACTAAATATAATTACTGCAATCAACATCATTCTATGTGTGAGGAAGCCCTAAAATACAACATATAAACCATCTTTAATCGGTTCCTAACAACAATAATTATAAGGGATTATTATATTCTACTGTTGAGCATTTTCAGTACATGTACAGGCAATCAGTCAACTCGCTTTATAGCTGGGCCAACTCAGCTAGCCGGGGGACAACTCACTCTATCAGACTGAAACAGTAATCACTAAATCAATGTTTTCTTGCAAAAAATGAAGAAAATCACAAAATTCATTAAAAAATTTGTGTTTTCATGACCTAGCTGAAATGTGCAAATGTTGCCAGCAGTAATATATAGAACTAAAATTGTAATTTCATCTCTGCAAGTGTGATGAAAAACTCCTACTTAGTATGAACACACATAAATATTTGTCCTGATAGGCGAAACATCCCAGTAAGCGAAGACTTTAAATTACGGTACAATAGAAAAAGTGCCAATTTATGTTGCAAGATTATGAGCAGAAATTAGGAACAAAAAGATTACAATTCTCAGGAATGACATGCAACAGGAATGACATACAGTGTGTATTAGAACACTTCAGAAAATGAAGCAAAATTATTAGAGTTAGAAGGTCCTTGAAATACATTCCTCCTAATATGCACTCAATACAAACAAAGGCACTACAGTATTATATAAAAGAGCTGAAATGTATGATCATACTTCATTAATTATTAACCAGAGGCAATCCAAATTATCAAAACAACTTGTGATATTCATAAAAATATTCTGTTAGTACTGCAGGAATAATTTGATACATGTACTATACAAAAATAGTTCTAATTTTAAAGGTTAGAACAACCTCAATACAATATTTTCGGCAAGGATCAAAACATTATCTTGTAATAAATCCTTCCTATATCTTGTTTCAAGTCAAACGTTGATCCATAAAGGCAATTAATATTTAATGAAAAATTCGAACTCCGACTTTGTTTTGTGCAGTGTGCACGTATTCAACAATTGAGCGAGAATACTCCAAACTCTCACATTTCATACAATTAATCGAGTGCACATATATTGCTTCATGTTTCATTCGAATATTTGCATGGATTTGTGTCGTGAGTATAAATTCTCTCTGTCCGATCATGCGATTAAAATTTTGCAATTTTCATACATTGAAACCGCAGAATAAAATATGATATTTGGAAGGCTACAACTTTGATTTTTTGCCGCTTGGATGCAATTGTTTAGAGTTTACGGTACTGTAGAGTACGAATATATTAAATACATTGTTGTTCAGCTCTGAGATAACCGTATTGTATTCCTGTTATGTTTACAAATACAATATATAATTTTCATTCGTATGATATGCACGACAAAACAATCGTCCAACAGTGTTTATAGTATTTTAGAAATATCATAGCACATGCAGCAATTCTGAGCCTACAATTTCATTGTCTGACAAACACCGAAATGACCAAATTTAATATATTAAACTTTAAAAAAAGCCGGGTCGCTGGGAGGCAAAAGGAAATTCATATTTAAATGAAGGTATATATATAGTTGAGCTTTATTAAAATAGACCAAGCAGCAGCAAGGATCATGGAACAATAACAAATTCTTTGCTTTATGAGCAAGAACAGGATAACTCCAACTTACCTTTACGGGTACTTTATCGTCGTCCATTGCAGAGTCATTTCCGTCTGCCATGATGGAGTTAATAAAACCAGATAAAACTTATGGAGGAGACTGACTTGTAAATTATTAACATGATGTCACTTTCTGAGTGAAGACATCTCGGTCCCCACCCCCTGTAGTTTAGCTTGAGTAGTTCATCGTGCAGTGTTAATTTATTAAAAACATTCCATTATTTTTATTATGTTCAAATAAGGAATGATATCCCAAAACAAGGTTGTTGACAACAAGCTAACTTTTGCCTGTTTCGTGTAGTTGGAAGTAGAAGGGCTTTAACTGAACCAGGCAGGGTCGACGTAGCGAAGGTGTGCTAGTTAGGGGGGTGCAATGCAGTAATTTACCTGATTTTACACTATTGTAAAAATTTACCTGAAATTATAACCCCCTATCTTTGCGGACTGCAATGTTGTGGTGCATTTCTCCCCTGCACAGTTATTATGCACCTAGCTAGATATTTAACCCACATCTAATTTTACAACATTTTTTTCTTGCTTTTTCAATCAATATAATATGCGGTTTGGGTTATTTTTGTTCTGCTAAATTAAAGAGTATAAGCCACACGAGAAAAACACGAGCATATACAAACCGAGTACTCCGAATAGCACTCTCCACTCATTTTATCAATTAGGTAGTTAAATCTAAAATACCATAATCACATTGATTAGTTACCTCTCGGCCTGCCAATAACTATAGTCAATTTTAACAAGTTTTT